TCACTGCACTCTAGCCTGGACAACAGAGCAAGACTCTCAAAATTTAAAAAAAAATGGCATGATCATTTTCTTCACACGATTTAGAATTTTATCATTCTGCTCTTAATTTCAGCCTTTTATAATATCATGTAATTTCGTTGAATAGGTGGGTTAAGATTTTCACCTTCAGGTCCTACATGTTTCCTTCACCGTGTACAATTTTTTCCCCTGAGATGTATGATCATATTTCAAACACCACAACCTTCCCTGGTTCCACTGCCTGAAAGCTGCGTCTCCAACTGTAATTGCTAGAATTTGTCTTTATCAGAGCATGAACTTTATGAAACACAAGGGAGTTAGAGTCAGTATGAAAAATACAACTTTTCTTTTTCTGGTGCTCAAAATTAATGGCCTCAAATGGCAATTAAAAAAATCTTATTAGAAGCATTTTTAGAAAGCAAGTAAGATCAATGATAGCTATTGCTTGCCTCCTGTGAAAATGAGTTGCTGATCTGGTGATGTTTTCTAGAAATATCCTTAAAGACATTTTTACATGATATTGTTGTTAAAACAAAAACAACCTACTTGAATCATCATTTCCCCCTCTGTAAGACGCAATATTAATCAATGGCTGCAGTTAACAAATAATTATTTTCTTTCATGTTCAGAGGATCTGATTTGAAACAAAGCACACAGCAGAAACAAAATAGAAAAAAATAGCCCAACAGCAATTAAGAGCATAAAAATCAATTCCCAGCTGGATTGTAGAGTTGAATTGGAAAGGCAAAACATAAAGTTCTGGAAGATAGCATGGAAGAAGCTACATGACCTTAGGATAGGAAATGCTTTTCTTGAACACAATATAAAAATGTTAAGCCTGAATCAATGTAAGTTGGACTTCACAAAGTCCAATTATGCAATTATAAAAAAAGCAATATTTCTTAAAAGAACCTCTGTTCAATTAGATACCATTTATACAACCAAAACCAAATCCAGATGCAAGACCAGATAAATTTGACTATATTCAAAACAAACTGTTGCATTGCAAAAAAAAAAAAAAAAAACACCATAAGCAAAATAAAAATACAAATAAGAAGCTGGAAAAAATTTTTGCAATATGTTATAGACAAAGGGTTAATATCTAATATTTAAAAATATTTTTCATATTGAGTGAAGAAAAAGGGGACCAGACATCCTAGAAAAATAAGATATATGAACAAGTAATTCACCAAAAATGGATGTAAAAATGGCCCTTAAACATATTTTTACAAATTCACCTTAATTCATAATAAGAGAAATGCAAATTAAAATTACACTAAGATGCCATTTCTAGTCCATTAGTTTGGAAAACAATCAAAAATTTGATGACATACATTCTTCTGATGGGGAGGCTACAGAGAAATAGGTAGGCCACACACTGCTGCTGGGAATACGATCTTTATAAAAAGGAACTTGGCAGCACTTAACAAATCTACACGTGAATTTACTTGTTTATCGAATAATCACACTTCCAGGAATTTACTCTGAAGATAACACTTCCAAAACTTTTTAAAATACTGGTAATAGTACTGCAGTATTATTTGTAATTGTAAATATCAGAACCACCAAAAGGCACAGTATAGGATAGAATAAACTATGGCATTTAAACTCCATGGAGTACCATGAGGCTATAAAAAAGTAAAGATCTCCATAAAATGATATGGAACAGTTTGTAAGACATAATCTTCAGACAAAAAGGATAAATGTAGCATAAAACCTTTTTTTTTTTTGAGAGTCTTGCTCTTTCACCAGGCTGGAGTGCAGTGGTACGATCTCGGCTCACTGCAACTTCATCTCCCAGAATCAAGCAATTATCCTGCCTCAGCCTCTTGAGTAACTGGGACTACAGGTGCACGCCACCATGAATGGCTAATTTTTTGTATTTTAGTACAGACGGGGTTTCACCATGGCCAGGATGGTCTCAATCTCCTGATCTCATGATCTGCCTGCCTTGGCCTCCCAAAGTGCTGGGATTACAGGTGTAAGCTACCACACTCAGCCTATTCTTGCAAATTTCTGTAAAGTTGATACTATTTCAGTTTTTAAAATACGATCTGGACGTAAAACTACTAAAAACTTCAGAAATCAATACTGGAATGAAAAACCACTAGAAACTTTCTGGTATATCTATGATGGGTTTACTTATTTATCTCATTGTTTATGGTAAAATACTTTAATGAGCGTAAAATAGATAGCTTCATTTACAGACTATCCAAGAACCAATGGAAATGCAGGTGTGCCTCCCATCCTATTAAGCAATGGCCTTTTGCCTCTAGCAAAATGTACTCAAAGTCAGATATACCATGCAATCAGTTCAAATGCACTAACAGGTAGACTGCACTTATATTTATAAGCTTATATGCAGAAATTTTTGATTTTTACATAAAATGTAAACACGAAACAGTTGGTATTGATACTAAATAGGCACTGTGATCAAGGGTACTTATGCACTAGTTTTGGGTATTTGTACATGAACCAACTCGACTACACAGTGGCTCAGAGGCAGAACAAAGTTTGTATTGGCCAATCAGCCTAATACCCATTGAACCTCTTTTGTTAATCAAACATAATGTGCAATAACCAGCCAAGCGCCCTTTAAAAAATCACTTTACCACTTTTAATGTTAAGGCACCACAGATTAAATATCCTTTGACTAAAACTGAACAGTAACATTTAAAACTCACACTGGAAAGCGGTGCAGTTACCTCTCAAAATAGACAAAGATGGTTTAATTAACAGGTTGATGAACCATACGTAGAAAAATTGGAATGTCAAGGTAAGTCCCAAGGAGAACATATGTAGCTATACAATGTGGGGTTCTAATTCAACAATTTTTCTTAGTAGTTGTGCCAACAGTAATTGGAGAAACATGTTCCTAATTGTTGATAGGTTGTATCTGGGGAGAGGATGACAGGTAAGCATACACATTTTGATAGGTACTCAATGTCTGAATTTGAAGAATAAAAATGCATTGCTTTCACAACTTAAAAAGTGCTAAAATCAGATCCAGTTCTCTGATACAGCAGACATACAAATGTATATGGCAATAGCAAGTTATGTAAGCTTGCTCTTTAGCTCAAACTAAAATTCTAGTATTTTCTGACCAAACTAAGTTCAAAAGTACTAAAAGAAAATGAGACAAGCAAATGATGAAATGTGAATCCTTTTCATTCAATATGGGAACTCATTGGACTGAAAAACCCAAATCTTTATTATACCAAACTTCTATAATAATCTTAATGATAGTTAGCTTTTAAAAAACACAAATTACAAAATACTACGAATTAAATGTATGACAGATACAAAAAAGACATCAGATTACTTCGGGGGAAAGTTGCTTTTAAAATCTATGTTTCCAAAGAAAATATTTTACATTGAGATACTTTTTTTTTTTTTTTTTTTTGAGACTGAGTTTCGCTCTTGTTGCCCAGGCTGGAGTGCAGTGGTGCTATCTCAGCTCACTGCAACCTCCACCTCCTGCGTTCAACTGATTCTCCTGCCTCAGCCTCCCAAGGAGCAAGGATTACAGGTACATGCCACCATGCCTGACAAATTTTTTGTATTTTTAGTAGAGATGAGGTTTTACATGTTGGCCAGGCTGGTCTCGAACTCCTGACCTCAGGTGATCCACCCGTCTCAGCCTCCCAAAGTGCTGGGATTACAGGTGTGAGCCACCGCACCCAGCCCATTGAAATTTTTTTTTAACTCATTTTTTTCTAAGAATGTATTTTTCTCTTTATGAAAACATAAAATGTTCCTTTATAAACCTTTATATGCAAAATTTATCAAGCTGGTAAATTCCATAACAGGCTGAACAAAATGAAATAAATAAGTAAATGAATTTACATGATTAGAAGGCTAATTATGGTATTACTGCATAGGTTTAGTATGAATGCATAGGTTCTAAATGTATTGCAACCATGCTAACTTCCTAATTTTAGATTTGCAGTTGCATCCTCCTAACTGCATCTAATGGCAGAAGCACCACCTTGTGGCAAAAGTAGGAGCTTTTAAATTATAGAAGTCAGGGCTGGTAACCCAGAAAGAAGAAAACAATTTAATGGGTTTGCAGGACACTGCTATTTTATTTCCTGACCTGTATTAGGATTCCATCAATGCTCACTTTATAAATTATTTGTTAAACCATGTGACTTTTCTGTATTTCTTGTATTTCCTACTATTAAAAGTTTAGGGGAAAAAGTCTTATTGTACCTGAACTAAAGGTTACACTCCTAAATGCTTGAATTTTCTAAGCACCAGTTATATTTTCTAGAATTTCCTATAACTTTGAGGAATTTTTAATCTTGTAAATGCACTGTTGTATTTTTATGATAGGAAACAAAACACCAGAAAGATATTTATTCTTTGGTAAGTGACAGAAGAATTCCCTATAGATGTTTTCCTCTGAATGTTTTCATCCCTGCGAGTCTCCCACAGCCTCCAAGAGCAAATGCAGGTGCTTTCAAATCATCTAAAAGACCTCTACACTCCTATACTAGCAGGTCTGAAAATTGTTAGAAACAAAAAACAAAACTAACAGATTTTGCAGCATCAATATAAAATATTAACGATTTATAGCACATTTTAACTATGTAACAATATTCAATCAAAAAAAGGTTTCCCTGTCACATTTTACTTATCCTATTTTGAGGTCTTGATACATACTATTCACAAAATGATCTGAATTAGCTGGAGAGATTTTCACCCTCTGTAACTGCTGTGGCATCATTTTCCTTAGTGGTGAACTAAATTGCATTTAGTACCTCTTTTCAGAGCAAAGAGCAATTTTTTTTAAAGGGGAAAAAGCTTTATTCCTTTGTTCCTAGGAACTTATCAGGATACTTTGGTGACTAACCCCTCACTATTACTCTCATCCAGACCCATCTAACTGATGCATAAGAAAAGCCACTAGCTGATGTGGCGCACAGCTCACTCAGAGCCAGTGTGCCTTGTGCAGGGGTAGGAGGCACAGCATCACCCAGACACTGCCACCCCTAGTAGCTTCCATTCCATCATGGACAGCACTGCTCACTCCTGACTCAACCCTTGCTTTGTTCAAATACTAGAAATATTAGATTTCAAGTGCAATAAAGATGTGGCAGATCTGCCTGAGAATATTTCACAGGACAATGCCTTCCACTGAGTTAATGTTACTTGCTCAAATAACCCTTATGCTCAAGTTAGGTACAGAAATACTTTTAAGAAAGTCATTAGACTGTTACATTGCAATTTTTGACTTAGGCCTCTTCAAAGGTGCTATAACATGAGGCAGCCCTAACCAAATGTCTGTCTCTTATAATTTGACACATTCCAGGTATGACTATTCTAATGGTCATGGAGTATCACTGAATCAAGTATTTGAATCAAGTATTTCTACCTATGAATAAATGTCAGGCTGTTGTACTCCCAAGATGTATAACTTCCTTGAAGAGTTTTTAAGTGAAGCTGTCACGTAAGACTAAAAGAAGGAATAACTCAGGGATCTTTTTACAAAGTATTAAAGAAAAGAATGGAATTATTTAACTTAAATCTGAAGATGTCTAATTCTTATTTCTCACTGAAAACAAGTAAAAAAAGAAAAACCTAACATGAGTTACTAATATTTCCAGAACTGCCCATTCAGAAATGTTTCACGGGAACCAAAGTTAAGATAAAATATTGTTAATGAGTAATCCTGGCATTGATATTCTACATTAGATATATCTCAATACTTTACTGTAAGATTCAACTGACCACTCTACCTAAAAAAATTCTTTAATCTTTTCAAGAAGATGTATTTTAAAACAACTTTTTACTCTTTTTCTCCTAGAAATAGGCACACACATATGTATGAAACAAGAAAAAGAAAGGGAGAAAAGGAGAGAGGGGGAAGTGGGCAGAGAAGGAGAGAGAGAACACCATTAAGGATACAGAATAATAAAGGAAATTAGTACCACTCAATGAGAATATAATCTTTTGAAATCTTTGCTATAAATGGAATAAAAAACTAAGTAATTCTGATAGGTTATTTTACTCTTTTTAATAAAAACATATCTATTCAAACTATTAGGTACTTCTAATCATTTCGACTTATAAGAAGCATTCGAAAGAAACATATACATAGTAACAGTGAATTTAGGCACAGGTTCACATAGATTGCTTTACTTTCAGGAAATTCAGAGCCTTTAAGAAATTACTAAAATTATCAAGAAGTTAGTTAAATTTTATAAGCTCTTTCCCTCAACTTTGGCTAAATGTAACCATATTAAAATACTGATATAGTTTTTGATCATGAAGCAGAAATGTAAAATGGTAGATTTATTGTAATCTTTACTCAAGAATGGTATTGAAACAAAGCTCTTACTATAACAACCAGGTTAAAAAAAAAGGGTGAATCAATGCTATTGTATATGTCCTTGAGATAGAAATTTCTCACTTATGGAGTCATGCTCAGGAAACAATATTTAAAATCTTAAACTGTAAACTCTTAGCTTGCAATGCTTTGATTTTTCCTGTATCTCACATGTTTTTCAGTGCCATTAAATATATTATCTTCTTTTTCTTCTTAAAGAACTAGTGTTCGTGAAAGGATCATCATCGTCATCCTGAAATGAGATACAAATGTTGTATTAGTGATTGTTTCATGCTTCACTGAAACAAGACAAAAGTTCTTATGGGCAAAACAATACCAGTGAGAGTCATTTCACATGGGGTAGACTTTATTTTTCTATTTCCTTTATAACTGTGAAATATATAAGTCCAATTAAATTCTTAGTGAGCATTAAAATAAAAATTTATCCTGCTGTGTGTGTGTGCATGTATCTACAATATAAACCACATAAATTTCCTTCACTAACCTTAATAAAGAGAAACAAAGTACAGGTAAGCCAGAAAAAAAAATTCCTCAAGTCATTTTATATTTGGTTTTTGAGTAGGTTTTTTCATTTACATTGTATTACTGTTGTTATCTACTCTTCTGGAAATTCACAGCCAAAAAATAATGACGCCACATGGAGATCTAACTCAGAAACAACTATAATTTTTATTTCCCATTACCCATTTAATGCTAGAAATAGCTAGCTACTCTCACACTCATGCAAAAAACAACCTAGCAAAACAAGCTTTCAAATAGTTTTTTGGATTAAAAAATATATATATGTAGTATTTCAAGAGTTCCCGTGCTACGGAGCTACAGATTATATATATGCATGGTGAGAATAAATAGAAATATCAGATATTAACTAATAATTGAAAAGAATGAAAACAACCTCAGATGAGCCCAATTATATAATTTTATCAGGATAACATAAAACTGATTCTTAAGTATTCTATAAGTATTCAGAAAACAAAGCAAATTTGTTTGAAATTTTTTATTTGTGTTTAAGACATTAAAAGAAGAAATCATTTGATGCTAAGCTTTGTTGGTGGTATTAGCACTTCCAAATGTTAGCTAAATTAACCATCTCTGGTGAGAAATGGATGCCTTAAGAAATACAAATTCATTATCATTTACTGATTCATTTTCTGCTACTATCAAAGGCAAAACTTAAATAAACCAGAGACAAATCCAAATGAAGTGTAACAGATGATTTGCTAATAGTTTGTCTTTGCAGTTAACATGACCAGTATACAAATTTTTAACTGTAACATATAACCGCATGTATATCTAGATGTTTTGGAATAAACAAATTAGTTAATAACTGCTCACTTCCTTCCTGGAAGCAACCTATTAGTACTTAACAGGTAGACTGATCTCTTGCTGCCATTTTTCTTGGCAGCCTGAGCTGAGTCTTCTCAAGCTGTTTTAAACCACAGCTGAAGAAGCAGCAGCAGCCAAAGCTAACAATAAAAGGCGTAAGTCGCAGGTTTCGGCGTAGATAAACCTTGAGGAACTTATGCTATGTGAAATAAACCAGTCACAAAAAGGCAAATACTATATGATTCTACTTATATGAAGTACCTAGAGTAGCTGATTCATAGAAAGAGAAAGTGGAATGATAGTTACCAGGAGATGAAGAAGGAGAAATGGAGACTTGTTATTTCAGGGATACAGATTTTCAGTTTTGCAACATGAGACAGTGCTGAAGATCTGTTTAATATGGATATATTTAGCACTGCTGAACTGTACACTTAATAATGGTTAATTTCATATTTTTTGCCACAATTAACAATTTTTAAAATAAAAAAAATAAATGAAAGGGGTGACAGGCCTAAGAGAAACACCTTCAAGCAATTCAACAAAAACTAGCAAAGTCCCTTAAAATGGCCACCATGAAGGAAAGGGGAAGGGCAGTACCCTTCAGTCATGTAGTTTTCTTTAAACTTAACTGAAATAGCAAATTAATAAAGGCAAGAGGCAAGTCCTGACTTAAACCTCTTCCTCTTCCTCCTCTTCATTCATGCTAGAGGAGATTTCATGGTTGCAGACAACTATTTGGAATTGGAGTTTTTTCCAGAAATCCTCCCAGAGAACATTTCAGACAATGCTTGAATACCTATATGTCATGAAATCATCACCATGTGCCACCCTCTACATGACACATGTAGAGCATATAGTTAGTACTAAGTATTCATTAAAGTAATACTAAAAGCTCTTGGGATATCATCATCATTTCTCCAAGTATAAGTAAATGTTAGCAGCTAAACAAAATTTTGATTCCACTGTTAACTGGGCAAATAAGTGCTGAGTGAATATCATATTTTAAAAATCTACAGGACTTTTATTAGAACCACACTCTAACCAACTGAGCTAACCGGCCACCTCGGTGGGACTTTTATATCTGAGGTAAATACATTCATGGGCACTCAACATATGTTACTATTAACTCTTAACATTAACTATAGTTCAAAGGAAGGTTATCAATAAAACCATTTTTTTAAATAATTTTTAGTAGAAGGACAAGATGGCCAACTAGACACGGCCAAGAAGCACCACTGCCACTGATAAAGACCAAAATATCGAGTAAGCCAACATTTTGAGCAGATCTTTGGAAAAAAGCACGAAGAGTTGATAAAGGTGATGCAAACCGAGGCTGAAGAGGGAGGAAGCTGGGAACCTTGCAGGGATTGCCGAATGCCAGGGCTGGTTCCTGGTCTTGAAAGGCTCCTAGGAAGGGGTGAGTGAAGGGACGATGAGGCAGCCCATTCTCACTATGGACCTCCAAGATCCTAGCTATAAGAGATCTCATTTCCTCCAGAGACATTTCAACTGGCAGGAGGATCTGCCCAGACAGCAGGCAGAGACAGAGCTCCAGAATGCACAGAGCCCAGGAGTTTTCACACGCAGGACAGCTGCAGCAGAAGGTGGCCACAGGCGCCCATCTCCAAGACTTCTTATTTCCCTTGGGGCAGGACTAGCCCCACCTGACTGCTAGGGCAGGAACGAGTAGGGCCAGCTTCCCTGTGGGACAGAGGAACATCGGTTCTGCAGGCCCTCCTCCCCTACAACCCCTTCCAGGGCCTCTGCCAAGCTGCCCTGCAGGAATGTGTGCACAGTGCAGCCTTTGCTGCCCAGCCTGGGTGTTTTCCTGGTGGCTCCACCTGAGTACCTTCCTGGCAGCCTGGGAGCATTTCAGATTCCCCAGCACAGCCAGTACCTCACACTGAGGGTTTAGACGATGGAGCCATAGGCTGGTCCCAGTGCCACAGGGCTATAGCACACAGCTTGGGGCTGCCAAGCTAAGAGCTGTGGCTGGCACTCAAGTTGGGGAGAAATCTTTCAGAACACTGAGAGGAGTGAGACATGTGCATTCGTGCGCTGGTGCAGGAATGGGATGTGCTTTCCTCCACAGTGCTGGTTTGGGAAGGGTGTGGCCTGTCTGCCAGCCGTGGCCTCTGATTGAGGGAGCCCTGCAACCCAAGACACCTAACAAGGGAAATGCAGTTGAGGTGTCAGTGATAAGAGGAGCCTCACCTATGGCCCAGGAGTGGACCTGGTAAAGTGGTCATCTCTCTCCCTGCTCCCACCATAGAGCATGGCTGCGAACACACAGAAATACAAAAGAACTATGCAGCTGAGTAAGGGCCTATCTGCTTGACATTAATGTTAAATGCTAGCTACTGGATCACAGCCAAAATTACAACACCAAAAAAATTCTGCCAATATACATCTCTGTGACACGCAGGGCAAGAATCTAGCCACAATAAAGATCTATATAGAGCTGTGGCCCTCTGAAAGCACCTAGAAACAAGGCCAACTGACTATACTCAACTTACACTGCAGTTGTAACATGAGAAAGAATCTACATGAGATATGTAGAAAGAATCAGTGTAAGAATTCTGGCAATTCAAAAAGCCAGAATGTCCCCTTACCTCCAAATGAGCCCACTAGCTCCCTAACAATAGTCCTTAACCAGACTGAAATTACTGAAATGACAGACATAGAATTCAGAATCTGGATGGCAAGGAAGCTCATCAAGATTCAGGAGAAAGCTAAAACCTAATCCAATGAATCCAGTAAAACAATCCAAGGGCTGAAAGATAAAATACCCATTTGAAGAGTAAACCATACTGAACTTCCAGAATTGAAAAATTCACTACAAGAATTTCATAGTACAACTGAAAGTATTAACAGCAGAACAGACCAAGCTGAGGAAAGAATGTGAGAGCTCAAAAACCAGTTCTTCAAATCAACTTAGACAAAAATAAAGAAAAACGAATGAAGAAGAATGAAAAAAACCTCTGAGAAATATGAGACTATGTAAAGAGGCAAAACCTATGATTCATTGACATTTTTAAGAGAGGAGAGAGAATAAGCAATATGAAAAACATATTTGAGGATTTAGTCCAGAAAATTTCTCCCATCTTGTTAGAAAAGTTGACATGTAAATTAAGAAATACAGAGAATTCCTGTGAGACATTATAGAAGATGACTATCCCCAAGGCACACAGTCAACAGGAAAAAAAAGATCTTAAAAGCAGCTAGAGAGAAGGGTCAGTTCACCTACAAAGGGAACCTCATCAGACTATCAGTGGACATCTCAGCAGAAACCTTACAAGCCAGAAGAGACTGGGGACCTATTTTCAGCATCCTTAAAGAAAAATGAACTTCCAACCAAGAATTTCATATCCAACCAAACTAAGCTTCATAAGCAAAGGAGAAATAAAATCTTCCACAGGCAAGGAAATGCTGAGCAATTCCTTACAACTAGATCAGTCTTAGAAGAGGTCCTTATAAGGTGCTAAACATGTAAACAAAAAAACACCACCTACTACCACAAAGACATATTTAAGCACATAGCTTAGAGACACTATAAAGCAACTACATAATCAAGTCTACAAAACAACCAGCTAACAATACGATCGTAGGACTGAAATATCATATCAATACTAACCCTGAATATAAATTGTCTAAATGCCCCCACTTAAAAGGAATACAGCGGCAAGCTGGATAAAAGGACAAGACCTGACTGCTGTTGTCAAGAGATACATTTCACATGTAATGACACACACAGGCTCAAAGTAAAGGGACGGAGAAAGATTTAACATGCAAATGAAAAACAAAAAAGAGCAGAAGTCGCAATTCTTTTATCAGATATAACAGACTTTAAACCAAGCAACAGTAAAAGAGAACAAAGAAGGGCATTACATAATGATAAAGGATTTGATTCAACGAGAAGATCTAACTATCCCAAATATATACACGCCCAGATCCATAAATCAAGTTCTTCTTAACCTACAGAAAGACTCAGACAGCAACAGAATAATAGTGGGAGGCTTCATCACCCCACTGACAGTGTTAGAAAGATCATCTAGGCAGAAAACTAACAAATTCAGGACTTAAACCTGATCAATTTGACCTAACTGACATCTACAAAATACTTCATCCAATAACTGCAGGATACAAATTCTTCCCATCTGAAAACAGAACATATTCTAAGATCGACCACATGTTCAGTCATAAATTAAGTCTCAATAAATTCAAAAAAATCAAAATCATACCAAATATACTCTTGGACTACAGTGCAATGAAAAGAGATATCAATATTAAGAAGATCTCTCAAAACTACACAAATACATGGAAATTAAACAATTTACTCCTGGATAGCTCCTGGGTCAATAATACAATTAAGGTAGAATAAAAAAATTCTTCAGAATTAGTAAAAATTCATTCATTCGTCAACGAAATTAATTTCATTAGTGAAAATGAAAATAGAATCACAACTTACAAAATCTTAGGAATACAGCTAAAACTGTTGAAAGGAAAGCTTGTAGAACTAAACACCTTCATTAAAAGGAACTCAAATTAACAATTTAACATTGTACCTAGAGGAACTAGAAATAAAAGAACAAACCAACCCCAAAACTAGCAGAAGAAAAGAAATAACTAAAATGAGAGAAGAACTGAACAAAACTAAGATGCAAAAATCCATACAAAAGATCAATGAAACCGAGAATTGGTTCTTTAAAAGAACAAACAAAATTGATAGACGGCTAGCTAAACAAAGGAAAAAAAGAGAAGATCCAAATAAATACAATCAGAAATGACAAAGATGACATTACAACTGACCCCACAGAAATACAAAAGATCTTCAAAGACTACTATGAACAACTATTCACACACATTAGAACATCTAGAGGAAATGGATAAATCCCTCAAAACACACAACCTGCCAAGACTGAACCAGGAAGAAAGTGAAAACCTGAACAGACCAATAATAAATTATGAAATTAATCAGTAAAAAACTGACCAACCAAAAAAGCCCTGGACTACATGGATTCACAGCCATATTCTATCAGACATACAAAGAATGATACCAATCCTACAGAAATTATTCCAAAAAAATCAAGGAGGGAGGCTCCTCCCTAACTTATTCTACAAAGCCAGCATCAGCCTGATACCAAAATCTGGCAGAGACAACAAAACAAAGAAATGTCAGGCCAATATCCCTGATGAACATAGATGCAAAAATCCTCAAGAAACTAGTAAACCAAATCTAGCAGCACATCAAAAAGTTAATATGCCATGATCAAGTATGCTTTATTCTTGGGATACAAGACTGATTCAACATATGCAAATGCAAAAATGTGACTGACGACATAAGCAGAATTAAAAACAAAAACGATATGATCACCTGAACAAAATAAAATCCAACACCCCTTCATGACAAAAACCTTGAACAGACTAGGCACTGAAGGAACATACCTCAAAATAATAAGAGCTATCTATGAAAATCCACAGCTAACATCATGCTGAACAAGCAACAGCTAGAACCATTCTCCCTGATAACTGGAAAAAGACAAGAATGCCCAATCTCACCACTCCTATTCAATATAGTACTGGAAGTCCTAGCCAGAGCAATCAGGCAAGAGAAAGAAAGAAAAGGCATCCAAACAGGAAAAGAAGAAGTCAAACTATCTCTCTTTGCTGGCGATATGATTCTATACTCCTGGAAAACCCTAGAGACTCTGCCAAAAGGCTCCTAGAACTGATAAACATCTTCAGCAAAGTTTCAGAATTAAAAAAAAGAAATCAGTGTACAAAAATCAGTAGCATTTTTATACAGCAACAATGTTCAAGCTGAAAGTCAAATCAAGAACACAATCCCATTTACAATAGCCACAAAGAAAATCAAATACATAGCTATATAGCTAACCAGGGAGGTGAAAGATCTCTACAAGGATAACTATAAAACACTGCTGAAAGAAATCACAGACAACAGAAACAAATGCAAAAACATTCCATGCTTAGGAATTGGAAGCATCAATGTCATTAAAATGGCCATACTGCCAAGGGCTATCTACAGATTCAATGCCATTCCTATCAAACTTCCAATGTCATTTTTCACAGAATTAGAAAAAACTATTCTAAAATTCACATGAAACCAAAGAAGAACCCAAATAGACAAAGCAACCCCAAGCAAAAAGAACAAGGCCAGAAGTATAATACTACCCAACTTTGAACTATATTATAAGGTTATAGTAACCAAAATCAGTATTGTACTGGTACACAGAGACCAACAGAACAGAACATAGAGCTCAGTAATAAAGCTGTGCATCTATAGCCAGCTGATCTTTGACAATGCTGACAAAAACAAGCATTGGGAAAAAGACTCCCTATTCAATAAATGGTGCTAGGACAACTGGCTAGCAATGTGCAGAAGAAAATGGATCCCTATCTTCCACCATATACAAAAATTAACTCAAGATGAATTAAAGATTCAATAGTAAGGTCTCAAACTATAACAACCCTAGAAGAAAACCTAGAAAATAGCCTTCTCAACATTGGTCTTGGCAAAGAATTTTTGGCTAAGTCCCCAAAAGCAACGGCAACAAAAACACAAATGAACAAGTAGAACCTCATTAAACTAAAGAGCTTCTACAGAGTAAAATAAACTATCAACAGAGTAAACAAAAAAACTATATAATGGGAGAAAATATTCACAAAATATACATCCAACAAAGGTCTAATATCTAAAATCTATAAGGAATGGAAATAAATCAATAAGGAAATTCAAATAACTTCATTAGAAAATGGGCAAAGGACATGAACAGGCACACTACAAAGAATAAGACATACAAAGCAGCCAACAAACAAGAAAAAGTGCTTATCATCACTAATCATCATAGAAATGTAAATCAAAACCACAATGATACCAATTCACACCAGTGAGAATGGCTATTACTACAAAGTCAAAAAACAACGGATGCTAAAGAAGTTGTCAAAAAAAGGGAATGCTTATACATTGTTGGAATATAAATTAGTTCAGCCAATATAAGCCATTTGGAAATTTCTCAAAGAACTTAAAACAGAGCTACCATTCCATCCAGTAATCTCATTACTGGTTATATAACCAAAGGAAAACAAATTATTCTACCAAAAAGACACATGCACTCATATGTTCACTGCAGCACTTATTCACAAAAACAAAGACATGGAATCAACCTAAGTGCCCATCAACATGGATTCCATGAAGTAAATGGTGGTACATATAAAACATGGAACACTAGACAGCAATAAAAAAATTAAAAAAAAAATAACATCAAAATTTTGTCCTTTGTAGCTGGAGGCCACTACCTAAGCAAATTAACATAGGAACAGAAAACCAAATACCACATGTCCTCACTTATAGGTGGGAGCTAAACACTGAGTATACTTGGACATAAAGAAGGGAACAACAGACACTGGGGACTACTAGAGGTTGGAGGCTTAGAGTAGGACATGGGTTGGAAAACTGCCTGCTGTGTACTATGCTCACTACCTGGGTGACGGGGCCTGTACCAAACCATCATGAAATTCCCACATTATAAACTTGTACATGTACCTCCTGAACCTAAAAGATGAAATTATTTATCAAATAAAAAAGTTCAGCAACCAGCTACCAGTGTCTATGTAAATATTATAAAGTTATAAATTAGTTAAAATTTAACAATATTACTTAGTTACCTCACTTGATTCAAAATTAACCCCTTTCAACACTTGGCTCTGGGACATGTTTTTGCTGGATGATGCGCTGGAACACCTGAGGCAAAACAAAAACAAAAACAAACACAATGAACTACATAATTCATCAAGCGTGCCTTTCTAGCTAAATTTTTCAATCTGGCAGCCACTATGAATATAAATAACACACTATTCCCTTAAAATCTACATTAGAGGCAATAAAACTTAACTGTAAGGAAAAAGACTCGGGCGGAGGCTTGACTTCTGGTTTTGCCATTTACTAACTATGTGGCTTTAAGCAAATTACTTAACTTCTATGTGGTTCAATTTCCTCACTTATAAAATGGGGACAATAGTTTTATAAAGACCAAACGTGTTACTATGCTTAAACACTTAGAACAGTGCCTGACACATATTAAGTACTACAATGACGCTTGCTTATATTATTATAATTACTATCATGTACTAAAATGTATCTATTACCATCTTCCACTTCTGAAAACTGTGGGAACATTGAAATATTTTCTATTCAAATCTCAGTTAATAAGAAAATCATGATTCCTACTTTTTTTTTTTTTTTTTTTATATATGGAGTCTCACTTTGTTGCTAGGCTGGAGCGTAGTGGCGCAATCTTGGTTCACTGAAATTCTCTTGCCTCAGTCTCCTGAGTAGCTGGGACTACAGGCGTGTGCCACCACGCCCAGCTAATTTTTGTATTTTTAGTAGAGGCAGAGTTTCACCATATTGGCCAGAATGGGATCGATCTCGACCTCATGATCCACCCACCTCGGCCTCCTAAAGGGTTGGGATTATGGGCATGAGCCATCGCACCCAGCCTATTCCTACTCTTATAAAGCTTAACTTGTAGTAAATTCCTATGTATTTGAAATAATAAGAAATTTAAGTCATTTTAGATTGGGGCCAGTAAGCAAATCTAGCCTATCTCCCAGGGATGTTGTGAGCACCACAGAAGTTAATTCACATATAAATTGCTCAGAGCAATGCCTGGCACATAGGAAGTGCCAAACAATATAACTGTGAGTTATATTACTATTTCATGTCTAAAGGAATTGGCAGACATTTATACAGCTGAAATGTAAATAACCTACTGTGATAACAAAAGGAAACTATTTTTTCTTTAATATCCTTAAGCATATATCAAAAACTCCTCTCTTTAAATCCTTCTGTGGATACCCACTGCCTTTATAATAACATTCAAAACTTTGTCGTGCTTACCTGTTCCTGCAGCATGATTTACCCTGCCTCCCGTTTCTATTCTCATCTCAAACCATCTCCTTTTCCACCGCGCTTTAGTCAATGGCTCATAAATAACATTATTAAACTTGCTTCTTCAATAGACTGTGAAATGGTTTTGGCTGTGTCCCTACCCAAATCTCATCTTGAACTGTAGCTCCCATAAATCCTAAGTATTGTGGGAGGGACCTAGTGGGAGATAACTGAATGAATCATGGGGCGGTTCCCCCATACTATTCTTGTGGTAGTGAATAAGTCTCATAAGATTCGATGGCTTTATAAGGGGAAACCCGTTTCACTTGGCTCTTTTTCTCTTTTCTTGTCTGCTGGCATGAGACGTGCCTTTCACCTTCCACCATGACTATGAGGCCTCCCCAGCTATGTAGAACTCTGAGTCCATTAAACCTCTTTCTTTTCTTTTTTTTTTTTTTTTTTTTTTGAGATGGGGTTTCACTCTTGTTACCCAGGCTGGAGTGCAATGGCACGATCTCAGCTCACCGCAACCTCCGCCTCCCGGGTTCAGGCAATTCTCCTGCCTCAGCCTCCTGAGTAGCTGGGATTACAGGCACGCCCAGCTAATTTTTTTTGTATTTTTAGTAGAGACGGGGTTCCACCATGTTGACCAGGATGGTCTCGATCTCTTGACCTCGTGATCCACCCGCCTCAGCCTCCCAAAGTGCTGGGATTACAGGTGTGAGCCACCGCGCCCGGCCAAACGTCTTTCTTTTGTAACTTGCTTAGTCTCTGTACATCTTTATCAGCAGTGTGAAAATGGACTAATACAGGCTGCATGCACGTGTCCCTCTGCCTTTTGGAAGGCCACGTTTCCCTTCTTAAAATTTTGGCTTAAATGTAGCCTTCTCAGAGGCTTTCCCTGGCCATCCTTCAAAGTAGATGCCCATGTCCTGTGCCATTGTTTCTTCTTTCTGCACCAGACAATTTCCTTTAATGCGTCCTAAATAATCTGCTGATCACCAGCTCAAACGTTACCCACCTTCTTTGTAAAATCTTCAATAATCTTTGCCAGGAAGACACTGGCACATCCCTTAAATTTCATTACACCTGAATAAAACATTTATCTTGGTGGATTAGCAGTGCCCTGTAATTAGCATACCACTAAAGTGTAAATTCCTTGAAGAAAGAAATATTTCTTTTATCTTTCTTTCCCCAGAACGTAGCATAATGTTTAAAGGAGCCAATAAGTGAATGTGGAACCACACTTATACTTGTTCTAACATTAACCTTTAAGTCACAAACAGTTTATATTCTCAGTGTGGTCAATATCACAGTCAAAGAACAAAAATTGGCTCCAAGGGATAGAGTGGGGTGAAAAATCATAGCTATTAACAATGCTTTTTCACCCTCTTATACTCAATCCTACTCAATAAAAATTCATTCTTTAGGTATTTAATTTCTAATGTTAGGGAGAAATTGAACTCAATCTAAGTTAATTAATTTTTCTCCTTGGATAATCAAGAAGTGGCTGAGATCATTAAAAAAAAAAAAAAAAGCTTGAGAAACACTGATATAAGGCTTTTTCCCCAATCACCCTTCTTTCTGGAGTTCCTGCTCAGGCCTTTACTCTCAGCTGGGACCACCATTCTGCACCCTACTAAGACAAATCTTATCTTTGAAGCCTCAGGTCAATTTTACTCTCTCCATGAAGCTGCTTCTTTTAGGTCACATTCCTTGCTTCATTTTTCACCAGTCCATAAGTGCTCACACTTATGGGTCTGTAATATAAAATTCCACACCTAATTATATACTAATTCATTCTCTGATGAATTAAAATACGTTTATTTCTCTTTTCCACTATAATTGAAGTTACCTGAAGGCAGAGACCACATTAAAACGTGCATATGCCCCTCATCGGACCTAATAAAATGCTCAAACAGAAAATAAGTACAAAATAAGGCAGCTGATTACTGTGTTAAGTAGAAATTCTCATTAATCGAGCTTTAGTTAAGCAGTGTGCAACCAAAATGTTAATGCATAAAAGCAAACGATAATAGTGAATCAAGTCAGGCTTAACAGCAGCAATAGGCAAAAACTCCAAAACACACAGGAAGAGCATGCAAGTCCTCTGAAAGCAGAGTGAGTCTATGTGATCCCCTTTTCAGTGTTTAATACAGCACCATGTGTAGTCAAGTATATAAAAATAAACAATGACAAAAAGCTGAAATCAAATGTTAGCAAAATACAAAGGCATTTTCTGTTAGGAGAGAACATAGTCCTCTATTAAGAAAAGCACAGAGGCCAAGTGTGGTGGCTCACATCCATAATCCAAGCACTCTGGGAGGCCGAAGAGGGTGGATCACTTGAGCTCAGGAGTTCAAGACCAGCCTGGGCAACATGGGAAAACCGTGTGTCTACCAAAAGTACAAAAAATTAGCCAGGTATGGTACGCATGTCTGTAATCCCAGCTACGAATTTCCCATCCTCAGGAGGCTGAGGTGGGAGAATTGCTTGAGCCCAGGAGGTGGAGGTTGCAGTAAGCCAAGATCGCATTACTGCACTCCAGTCTAGGTGACAGAGTAAGACCCTGTCTCAAAAAATAAATAGATAAATAAAAAGACAGAAAAGTACTAATAAAGTCAAAAGGAAAAAAATTACAGACGATTTCAATTTTCACTGAAAATCCTTGTACTAATGCTGCATGAACTCTATAAACTAGCCCTTGGCCTGTTTTCATTCCTCTTCATACTTTGCTAGTTGAAAATCAACTAACATAGAAAACTTTTATGGCATAGAAAAATGTGTAACTATGGAATTCTGGATAATTTTTAATTTTTTTCAGATGTTTCTTTTTCCAGAAAAATCGCTGCACCTACCTTTGATCTGCCTTTGAAGTGGTAGGAAAAAAGTCTTCTTCCTCTGATTCATCTACCTCAATCACCTGGCAAGGAAACAAAGCACCAAACAGTTCTTGTGAGAACAGAATATCTGAATAAAAATGAAAATGAAGAAGTGCATTAAACAATTAAATCTTAGTTATATATGAGCCACAAAAAAGGAGACAGAAAACCATAACTATTAAAACTGATACTCAGCCTGACCTCCCTCCAATGTCACTCTTCATTCACAAATGTTACTTTCTGTTCACCTCTGTTCTGGCCATCCCAGGTGCCTGAGCACCTAAGGGAACACAGTTAGATTTGTGAATGACTTGAATAGGCTCATATGCAGACCTTGTGACTTTCCTCTTGGTTTCTGATGAGAGACCATCAGTGTTCCATCTCTAACCTTAAATGAGGTATCAGACCATGTGGGAAATACTATATATCCTTCTGTTAAATCTGTCCCTTTTAAATACCATTTGTTAGTGTTAAGACCCAATAAAGATATTTCTGACCATTGAGTCTATGATCCAAAATACAATTTCTCTACATTTTCTGTTATCTTGACATTTGATACATATATTTGCTGTATCTTCATCCAACTGAAGTGCAGATGAGGATGAAGCCAAGGACCAAATACTGAACAAACAGCTCCTGAGGCTAAGGATGCTGCTAAATATCCTACAATGCACCAGGACAATCCTTCACAGCAAAGAATTATCTGTTCAAAATGTCAACAGTACCACTACGGAGAAACCCTGATGTAAAGGGAAGAGTGCTGGCTTGGGAGTTAAGACACATAGTTTTGAAAGTGAGGTAATAATAGAGGTCAAGCCCACTTTTGACTCTTTGGAATCAAAGGAAGAGCAGAAGGCCCAGGCTAAACCTAGGGCAGACCACATGGATCACTGGACTCCAGCCTTTTAGTTCATCTTAAGTCTAGCATCAGCTCTTAAGTCATAGCCAGAATTTTGGGAAGATAAGTAAGAAAAGGAAACCCAGTATAGATAAAGCCTCTATATGCACTGAACTCATCTTCAATATTAGTATTCCATGCATCAGCTCTTTTGGTTCAACTGTATATATAGCATTTATGGATTTCTATAATAATAACCATTATTAAAAAAAAGAGAGCAACCAAGAAAAAATATCAAATCCTAGAAACTCTAGAGATAATTGGTAAAGCACCTTCCAGCTTTAATGTTCCATACTTTTTCATCTTTTATTTACTTCGTAAAGCAGAGTTGACAATTCATAATGCAGAAAACATAAATTATTAATACACAACTATAAAACTTTTTTTCTTACCTCTGAATAATTCTTAGTAGTGACATTTTGGGAAGGTTGCTGTCTTGCAGATTTAAAGGCTAGAATGAAAAAGATGAAGCATGCATTATGTTATTCTTAAAACAACTTAGAATAACTTGCATATTTCTTTAGCTAAAGATTTTCTGAATCCTATCTGCAAAACTGCATGATGCCTAATTACAAAACTATTTTTCATATTTTAAAATCTAAAGGGAGATAGAATTATAGGTACAAACAACTCAGTGCTGTCAGTCTCATTATTTCCCAGCTTATTTGAATACTGTAGTATTTATAAATACACACACACAAAAAATATTTTATAGAAAAATACCTGAAGGATAAAATCTAATCACCTAACCAACTGAACTACAAATGTATTGAAGGAAAGACTCCTAATCCTTTATTTCTTTGCTGCTGATGATACCTTTACTCTTGTCGCTCTATTAGGAGCCATGGGGTTCCAGTGGTTTCTCATTTTCCTCTACATTGGTAACCATATTTACACCTAAGAAATATTCCACATGAGAATTCTAGAAAATAGTATATCTTTTATTCTATGATAAAAATTATTTTGCATCCATACCTTTTCTCCTTTTAAACTTGGTTAGATACTTGAAGTTTGGCTAGCTTTTTATCTTTCCTTTTCTTTTCCCCTACATCTAAACCTACAATAAAGCCAGGTGTGGTGGCTCACTCCTGTAATCCCAGCATTTTGCAAGGCCGAGGCAAGTGGATCACTTGAGGTCAGGAGTTCAAGACCAGCCTGGCCTACATGGTGAACCCCAAACTGTACTAAAAATATATATATAAATTAGCTGGGTCAGGTGGCAAGCTCCTGTAATCCCAGCTACTCAGGAGGCTGAGGCAGGAGAATTGCTTGAACCCAGGAGGCAGAGGTTGCAGTGAGCAGAGATCATGCCACTGTGCTACAGCCTGGGTGACAAAGCGAAATTCTGTATCAAAAAAAAAAAAAAACCCTTCAATAAATTTCAAACATCTAATTCAGGTTTATTTTCTCCTACGCCTTACCAGTTTGCTAATACCAAAAATATCTTCCCCAAGATAACTTACAAACTAAATAGGGCAAAGAAAGAAAGAATTTAAAAAGTGAAATACTCAAAAAATTCTGCAAAGTCCAAAATTCTCCTAGTCAGAAAACTAACGATTTTTTCTATTTAACCTAAATGTGTTTGCACATATTTCCTATTCTAGGTTCTATCCCCAAACTTGTAACATCTAAGAGTAGAGATGAGAGGCAGAAACGGTGTTCTTATCTGCTTACTCAATTACTGGTTTCACAACCTACTCTACTCAAAAGGCTAGACAGGGCATTGAATAAAAAAGCCAGTGAATATGATGGTTTCAGAGTATTTCTGTTCAATATTTGTTCACTGACTCCTCTAACTCTGAGATCGTAGAAAATAAGACACTTTTGTTGTTATCCCCAGTGGAAGGCAAAAGATGAATGAATGAATGTGAAATAATTTTAATAATTTTAGTTTAGAAACTAAGCAGTATGTTCTCTTAGGAAGACAATACAGTGTGGTGGTTAAAAGCTCTGGTTTTGGAGTTAGACTTATTTTAACTTACTAGCTCGACTATGGCCAAGTTCCTTGGCTTCTTTAAATCTCAATTTCCTCACCTGTAAATCAGTGTTAATACTTCATGCAGAAAACTGTTGAGAGGGTAAGAGGGAGTGTCTAGCATATAAAAAGCATTCAAATACATGTAGCTATTTGTGGTAGTAAACGCAGTAGCGGCAGTGGTACCCACAGTGGTATAAATGAAACGTAAAGGTAGTGGCTTCAGAGGTACTTTTATTCACTTAGCCACTGTCCTCTGCTGACTAACTTCAATGGAAAATCTGGGCTGTCAACTCTTATTTACAACTCCTGTGGCTATAATTTCTTTTCCAATAACACTGCAGCACAATAATACTCCATGGACCTTGTTATAAGATAATTTGACCTTTATTTATCTCTTCACTCCTCCATTTATAACAGGGATCTAGAAGTTACAGTCTTAATTTGTTGCTCTGTCCCAAAGGGATGACCAGTATAGTTACTACACAACAGGTATTCTATAAGAGACTTAAAAAAAAAAAACAAAAAACAACCCACCAAATCCAACCTGATAAAAATGTTTCACAAATGTATACTTAAAAAATCAGTTCATTTTTCAAAAAAGGCCTAGTACTGGAGGTAATCAGTTAAGTTAGCAGAACCAATATATCAATTAAATAAAAGACAAATTTAGACCCATGATTCACATAACATTCATCTTCATAATCTTATTACAAAACACTACCACTAATATCAGCTATCATCTACTGCATTTTTACCAGTTGTTGTGATTAGTAATGTAAATACTTAAGTTCATTTAATATAATTACTCTGAAGTCAGTACAACATTGTCAATTTTATAGATAAGGGATCTGATGCTTATAGAATAACACCAGTTCGCACTTACTGAGGGCTTAATATGCATAGACTTTGCCCGGTACTTCACATGCATTTTCTCATTAATCCTCAAAATAACACAATGACGTAGACGCAATCATTGACCCATCCTACAAACGAGAACACTCAATCCTAAGACGGAAAACTTAACGCATTTGCTGGAGGACACACAGCTAGTAAAATTGAGAAGTCAGGATTCAAACCAAGATCTTCCTGACTTTAGAACTATGGTCTTAACTCTTATGCTACACAATCTACTCAGTCATTGTCAAGTATTTAACAGGCATGTACTCTGTTACGTGCCAAGCACAGGGGACACAGCGATGAGCAGGAATGGTGCAGACACTGTTCTCACAGCACTTACAGTGCAAGGGTGCTGTGTCAGCAGTAAAGAGCTGGTTGTGGCTGACCCAATGGGCCTGACTCCAGAGCCTGGGTTCTTAACCACCATGCCCTGCTGCAAAAGGCACCATAATAAGATTTTTGCCTACAACATAACTCAGGAAATCTGATGTTTTGTATTTAGTTTATTTTACGTAGCCTCTTTTCATGGGTAAATACTGTTTCCTTAACAAAATTAGTCAAGGCAATCTGTAAAACTTTTAAGGCACCATAACTGGTCTCCAGTCTCTCGACGCAAATAGGTTTATTCTGTGTTGTCAATGGGTAACAGTCATTGCAGACTAGGTTATTCAGACAAAATAATCTCTGTCTTCAAACTTACTTCCGCTGACAGCAATCCAAATTAGTACCTCAAACATTAAAAAAAAATGCTCAACGGCACTGAAGAGCTGATCGCATAGCAAGGAATTACCAGGCCAAAACTGAAGAAAAGCTAGCACTCAGAGGTAAGCAGAGTCCTTTCCCCGAGTTCACTTTTCAATAGGGAAAATGTTAACACTGGTTTTTAGAGTTCTGAAGAAAAAAAGAGAGAGAACTACCATAGCCCAAGGGCTGCCCAAAGTGGGAAGCCTGATCCATTTCCTCCCTTGTTTAGGTGGGGACCCAGTGGTTAAAGAGAGAAGCAGAGGTAAAAGAATTTCATAAGCATGTAACTGAGAACGCCCATTTTTCTTTTTTCTTTTTTTTTTTTTTTTTTGAGACCAAGTCTCCTTCTGTCACCAGGCTGGAGTGCAGTGGTATGATCGCGGCTCACTGCAACCTCCACCTCCCAGGTTCAAGCGATTCTCCTGCCTCAGCCTCCTGAGTAGCTGGGACTACGGGCGCATGTCACCACACCTGGCTAATTTTTGTATTGTTAGTAGAGATCGGTTTTCACCGTGTTGGCGAGGACGGTCTTGAACTCCTGACCTAGTTATCTGCATGCCTCAGACACCCAAAGTGCTGGATTACAGGTGTGAGCCACCGTGCCTGGCTGAGTACCCCCATTTTTCTAAGAGATAGTTCAATTATTTTTTCTCTGTCTCTCCTTTTCTCATTTCTCCTTTTCCCCACTTTCTACTTAGTTCTTTAGAAATACAATTATAGTCTTTTACTTCCTCTTATCAGATACTCCCTACAGGGGGAGTTCATCTGACTATGTGCTTAGAAGCTCCAGGGTGGGACTATCACCCACCAGGGGGTTGCCTCTAGAGATAACAGTGGATTTACAACCCAAAGTCCTGCTATGAAACTCTCTCCCGCCTTGAGAATTTTCGGCCACCTTTATAGCCTATTTCTTCCCATGAAGATGCCAATTTAACTCCCTGGTAGATAAGACACCAAATTGGCATGCAGACCCCTAACTTGTTCGCTTCCTCCCCTGCATGCCATTCCTGATAGGACCCCTTTAAAAGCATCCAACAAGGAATGTAAAGGACCTCTTCAAGGAGAACTACAAGCCATTGCTCAACGAAATAAGAGAGGACACAAACAGATAGAGAAACATTCCATGTTCATGGTTAGGAAGAATCAATATCGTGAAAATGGCCATACTGCCCAAAGTAATTTACAGATTCAATGCTATCCCCATCAAGCTACCAATGACCTTCTTCGCAGAACTGGAAAAAACCACCTTAAACTTCATATGGAACCAAAAGAGAGCCCGCATAGCCAAGTCAATTCTAAGCAAAAAGAACAAAGCGGTGGGCATCACACTACCGGACCTCAAACGATACTATAAGGCTACAGTAATCAAAACAGCATGGTACTGGTACCAAAACGGAGATATAGACCAATGGAACAGAACAGAGGTCTCGGAGGCAACACAACATATCTACAACCACCTGATCTTTGACAACCCAGACACAAACAAGCAATGGGGAAAGGATTCCCTGTTCAATAAATGGTGTTGGGAAAGCTGGCTAGCCATGTGCAGAAAGCAGAAACTGGACCGCTTCCTGACACCTTACACTAAAATTAACTCCAGATGGATTAAAGACTTAAACATAAGACCTAACACCATGGCCGGGCACGGTGGCTCAAGCCTGTAATCCCAGCACTTTGGGAGGCCGAGGCGGGTGGATCACGAGGTCAAGAGATCGAGACCATCCTGGTCAACATGGTGAAACCCCATCTCTACTAAAAATACAAAAAATCAGCTGGGCATGGTGGTGCGTGCCTGTAATCCCAGCTACTCAGGAGGCTGAGGCAGGAGAATT